GAACATTACCCAAGAGATGTGACAAAAGGTTATTTCTGCAAGCAAATTCAAAGGCCACCAAAACATAAATGAGCAAGGTAAGTTGGCCAGAGAGTCAAAAAGAGATTGCATTATGCATTATTCAGATTAGGTGGAAATTTTGAATGCCGTAATTTGAAACTGTGTGTTTCAGAATGAAGAGGCTTTGATTGTTGAGAAACTTGTAGAGTTTTTAGGAGATCGAGCAAGCCATTGTTGGGTGCACGTGATTATTGGACTACCTTTTTTTATTGTTGGCATCTTTTTAGCTGAACCTCCTAAAAAACATAGTGTTCTTTGTTCTTGATACTTTCATTTGAATTAATACTATGATTAATTAGAAGAAAAAAGAACAAGAAGGATAGAGTTGCCGTGGATGGAGTTACAGGCAGTGGAAACTTTTGGTGGTTGGTATTGTAATGTTGTTCAACATCAATAAAATATAAGTGTGGAATGAAAAAATGTATTGGTGGCCGAGAGTTTGGTCTATAAGACCGCATAGATAAAATACCCATGCGGTGGCACGGTGTCATATAGGGACTAAACGCCATGCATGACTTATTGCGACCACATAGATTTGTTCTTTTTGTTACTCTGTTTTCCTGTTTCTAAGGCATAGTCCCTTGTTGAAATATTTCCAACAATCTCAAAAGATACTCCTGTGATGGAGAGTGAAACAACTATGGCGACAATCAAATTGATGAAAGATCTCGTACACCTGGATCATTTGCAACTTTACAAGATGGCAAATCAAGTTGAAGTTCTTCTTATAGCATTGAAAATTTTCTACATACTTGATAAGGATTTGGTGCCATTACCAAAACTAGCAAATGAAGAAACGGAGGTCAATAAAGCCAAAAGACAAAAGTGCCAAAAAGATTAATTGATTTGACACGGTCATATACTCAATGCATTGTGGAATCGTTTGTATGACTTAACACCTTGGAGAGTAAGTACAAAGCGGAAGAAGAAGGTACCAAGAAATTTTTAATTTCTAAGTACGTTGATTTTAAATTTCCAGAGAATATTTCCCTACTTCCCTAAATACATCAAATGCAAGTGATTGTCAACAAGTTGAAGGAAGTAGAGATTGAAATCCCGAAGACCTTTCAAGTGGAGGTAATTATTGCAAAGTTTCCTAGGACTTGGAAAGGATACTGTAATAAGATAATGTATAAATCCAAAAACTATTCTTTGAAACAATAGCAGAAACATTGTCACATTTAGGAAAAATCGAGAATGAGAGATAAGAATGAAAATTCTTATAAAGGCACGTCCAAAGCCAATGTAGTGAAGAAAACTAAAACGCCAACAAAATCCAACAAGAAAAAGCCTTCTAGGAACTTCAATAAGTCCAAGAAGAAGACCAAAGGAGGATGTTTCGTGTGTGGAAGATCTGGACACTATGTTTGATTATAGACATCGAAAACGAAACAATTCCGAGGGTAAGGTGAACTCTATCCAAAAAGACAAGATTGTAACCACCGTAAGTGAAATAAATGCAATCAAAGAAAAGGTTCTCGGATGATGGTATGATACTTGTGCAACAGTGCATGTATCGTATGACAAATCTTTATTCAAGACATATCATGAGGTAGATCTCGACCAAGAGATCCAAATGGATAACGAAATCCAATCTGAGGTGATCGTAAAAAGAAACATGGATATCATCTTCATTTCCGGCAAAAAGTTATTTTAACCAATGTTTACATGTTCCAAATATGAATAGAAATTTGATTAGTGAAAATCTCTTAGGAAAATCGGACATTAAAGGTGTCTATGAGTTTGGTAAACTTGTACTATCTTTAAATGGAAAATTTGTTGAAAAATGTTAATCTTGAGAAGGAATGGTAAAGCTATGTACTGTTGACGCGCTAGATTAGGTCATATCGGTAAAAGTACTATGAAAAGAATGATAAAATGTGATTTGATTTCAAATGATGAAAATGATGCTTTTAAGTGTAAAATATGTGAAGAATCTAAGATGATTAAAAAACCATATCAAAGTGTTAAAAAACCTATGTATCTTGGAATTAATTCATATAGGTATTTGTGAATTAAATGGCATGTTAATTAGAGTGAAAATAAGTATTTTATTACCTTCATTGATGACTTATCTAGGTATATATATCTTTATTTGATGAGGCATAAACATGAGGCTTTTGATATGTTTAAAAAATATAATAATTAAGTCGAAAATTACTTAGGCAATAAAATAAAGACTCTAAAAAGTGATAGAGGTAACTAGGGCTGGATATGGTCCGGTTCGGTTCGGTTCTAACAAGAACCGAACCGACCCAAAATTTTCGAGTATTTAGTAAGTGGAACCGTCGAGTCCAAATTTAATTACGGAACCGTTCGGGTTCGGTTCCATTCGGTTCGATTCGGTCCGTTTCGGTTCCATTCGGTTCCGTATTATAATTGAAATTTTTAATATATACAAAATTATGTTAATTTAATTAATGATATATTTAATATTAGCTCTTTCAAAATAACGTAGTTCAATCTTATGTATTTCACGTCTCTCTTTGCTGAATTCTTCATAAATTTGATTATTAAAATCACAGAAAGAGAAAGATAGCGATCTCAAAATAATTAAGAGAGATGTTGTAGAGTTTTAATTCGATTTTCTCCGGTAGAAACAACACTATAGTAGAATAACAGATTTAGATAAAATTGAGGTCAATTTGATTAAGTTGATTTTGAACTGAATATTAGAAATAGGAAAATCATATTTTGTGGTTTGAACTAAATTAACTAGTTAACAAATTTATTTAGAAAAAATAAAATAATTTTACTTATTTAAAATAAATTAATTAAAAAAATTATGGAGATTCGGTTCTTATTTGGCTCTTCAGGTCTTGGCCTAGAACCGAGAACCAAACCATACCCATCGGTTCTTGATTCAAATACTCGTTCGGGTATATATATATATATATTGGGCTTGTTTCGAAGCTTACATTAAATGACAAATTTTGTGCTCAAGAAAAAGTTATTTCGGATAAGTTAGGCCCATGATATTTAAGTTCAAAGAGTCCATATGTTTAATTGAAGTCAACTAAGAATCTAATTGTTATTTTTGGTGGGGCAGCCACGTTATTCACTTGAACTGTTTTGAAATTGAATCTTGTTATTTGAATTGTAAAGAATGATAACTAGGGTTAATTTTATTAGTTATCCATTTGAAATTCCACATAAACCAATAAACAATTTGATAAGTAGTCTAAGAGTCCTAATTAAATTGGGGATCTAATTCATGTAGGAGTCTTGTTCCCATCATTATTAGAAGATTGGGATACTATAGAATTTGAGGTTCACACTACTTTACCGGAATTTGATCAAATTATTATAAAAGATCATAGGCCAGCAGATTACTTTAAGTTAATTATTTCAGAGACTAAATTTGAAAGGATTTAGTTCAACATAGACGCTTCATCATCATCACAAGTTAAGGTAGGATCCCTACGCGTAGTTGTCGTTACATGAATTAAATTCTCAATTTAATAAGTTATTCTTTATGTTTTCATGAAGTATATAAAGTGCCATTAGAGTTTCCTTTTAAATTTTGATGATGAAAGGTTATAGATGTTTAAATTGATGGCCGCAGAGGCTCATCAGAACATTAAATATATATGTTAAACTGATGGTCGCAGATGCTCATCAGAACCTTAGGTAGATCGTTTGATCATCGATTTACTTATTTATGAAGGCAACATGTTTATGTATGATTAAATGTATGAATATTAAGTTCATGTAGCACGTGTAGCCTATTGAGTATTTCTTTGAGATGCTCACTCCTATTTAACCATTTTCAGATTAATCGAAGCTCGGGGCGTTACAGCTTGGTATCAGAGTGCGGTTTACGTTTCTGTAGACTTGCGAAACATAAACTTGATTTCCAAAACTTTAGGAATTGTGTCACATGAAATTTTGCTAGCATCATGCCTGCCATTGCCGCAAATCGCTGATTCTGAGGTAAAGAAAGTTTTAAGAAATTTATGCTATGTTATGATATTTGAAATGTTTATGTGTGATTTTATATATTTAAATCATGAAAATTTACGTTTAAGAAAGTCAAGTTTGAGAATATGGTGGAGATATTTATCAGTTTTAGAGCATAACTAAATTATAAATATTCATTTTAGTCCTTGGAAAAAAATATTAGAAACCCACCAATTTGGATCTTATAATTGATTTGGCACAGAATGGCATGAACTAAGAGAACATGCAGGAAGACGTGCTCAATGATGCCTCATCGATATGAGATTGTGAGGCAGTACGAGGAGTATCAGTGGAATCCAGCACATGATATGGGCCAGCACATTAGGGAGATGTTGGTGAGGTGGAAAGAGGTGAGGCAACTAGGACATATGGTCACTGGTCGATGGGCCAACCGCCTCCTTATTGATACATTGCCAGAAGAATGGCTAGAGATGGCCGAATCAATTTACAATTATTTGTGGGAAGTTGCTATACCCACTTTACCTCGGGAGGTTGACTATGAGGCCTTTTGCACCGAGCTGATGGCACAGTGGGAGCAAGCCCGAGATGATGCACTTGCATATCCTGAGGGCGATAGAATACCTACTGAGATTTACATATGTGAGGATACACCTCCACCTAGTTCAGATGATGAGTCTCAACCTTCCAAGAAATCTAGGATTCACGGAGGATGGATTGATGATGATGATGATAATGATGATGTTAAGACGGATTAGTGCCAGATGATATTAAGATGGATTAGTGCCAGTGACTTTTAGTAGGTTTCATTAAGCTTAGATCATGACATGTTGAGTAGGATTTCCTTTTTGTTTTTCAGTTGACTAGTACTATACGTTCTTTCATTGATTGTATTTCCTATAAAAGACTTAGTTAATAATAAAATGGGTTATTTCCTAATTATAGTTTCTCATTTTACTGTGCAATGTGTGATTTTGTGATTTTCCCAAGGATTACAAACTATTCCATTTTGTATGAAGGAAATGGCACCAATATCACACACAAGAGCAATTAGAGAATTGCAACAAGAAGTAGAAGAAATGAGACGGGTCTTAATGGCACAAGCTGCTCCAGCAGCACCAATGACTCAGACCGAACAAGAGGCACAAGCAATACCACCCGTCGCAACACAAACTACCCCTATACTACCCCCTGCTCCAGGACCAACCACTGCACTAACTGTACCAATCATTGAGCAGTTTCGCCGATACCGCCCTCCTAGCTTCGATGGTGGTGATGACCCTTTGGCAGCAGAAGAATGGCTTCGGACAATTGAGAAGATCTTTCGGCACATATCTTGTCCAGAAAATCAGAAGGTGTTGTGTGCAGAATTCATGCTAGTCGAGGAGCCTGCCATTGGTGGGAATCCGCATCACGTACACTGACAGAGAGAGCACGTAGTATGACATGGACCCAATTTAAGATGGAGTTGAATTAGAAATACTTCCCGTAAGCCCTTCGCGACCACAAGGAGACGGAGTTTTTACAACTAACATAGGGAGATAAAGACATCACTGAGTATGAGAGGAAGTTTGAGGAATTATCCCATTATACCCCACATCTTGTAAGCACAGAGCACATGAAAGCAAAACGCTTTGAGAAGGGACTGCGCCCTGAGATTAGGCAGATAGTGAGTTCGCATGAACTCACAACTTATCGAGAAGTTGTAAAGAAGGCCCAAGCTGTATCATTCTCAAGTTTTAAACTTCGAAGCTAGGGATTATAGAATGACACTGGAAAAAGAAAGTGGCACGATCAGGGTAAGGATAAGATTTTCGGACAATTCAAGAAATAGAATAACAGGCCTACAAGCCGACAATTAGACAATCTCGTTCCTCCGTGCCCTAAGTGCAAGAAATCCCATAGGGATGAATGTTTGTTTGGCAAGAATGTCTGTTACAAGTGTGGCCAAATAGGACACTATGCTTCAGGATGTCGGGCAACGCCGATTAAGGATGCTGAATAGGTGAAGAAAGGAAATGCGAGAATTTTTTCCATGACACATGATGAGGCCGCCCAGGATCCAAACGTAATTACAGGTATTTTATCTATTTACAGTATTCCTGTTTACGTTCTTATTGATTTCGGTGCAATGCGTTCGTTTATATTTGCAACATGCCTAGCCAATATCAATATTTCTTGTGAGAAAACTAGTAGTACACTAGAGGTTAGTATGCCATCAGGAGGAGTCATTGATACAAATAAGATTGCTAAGGCAATACAAATAGATTTTGATGGGTTAATACTTGAGGCAGATTTACATGTCATAGAACTAAAAGATTTTGATATTATCTTGGGTATGGATTGGTTAGGTAGCAATAGAGCTATAATTGTATGTTTTGAGAAAGAGGTCATCTTCAAAAGACCTGGAGAGGAAGAGTTTAGATTTTACAGGTCAAAAATTAAGGCACTCCCCCGTATTATCTTGGCTATGCAAGCGAAAAAGCTATTGATGAAGAAAACCTGTCAAGGATATCTTGTTAGTCTTACTGGCACGCCATCAGAAGAGTTAACATTGGATAGAGTGCCTCTTGTGCAAGAATACACTGACGTATTTCCTGATGAACTACCGAGTGCCCCAATTGATAGACAAGTGGAATTTATAATAGACTTAATACCCGGAGCTGCACTAGTGTCTAAGGCTCCATACTGTATGGCGCCAAAAGAATTACAGGAGTTAAAAATGCAGTTGGAGGAACTTCTAAATAAAGGTTTTATCAAACCAAGCGTGTCTCTATGGGGAGCTCCAATACTTTTTTGTGAAAAAGAAAGATGGAATCATGAGAATGTGTATTGACTATTGAGAGTTGAACAAGCTGACTATCATGAATAAATATCCTCTCCCAAGAATTGAATATTGATTTAATCAATTGAATGGTGCAACCGTATTCTCAAAGATTGATTTGAGGTCAGGCGATAGATGAACTAAATATCAAGCCAAGTGACATACCTAAAATAGCATTTAGAACTCATTATGAATTTACAGTTATGCCATTTGGACTTACTAATGCCCCTACAGTATTTATGAATTTGATGAATAGAGAATTTCATCAGTACCTGGACAAATTTGTTATTGTGTTTATTGATGATATACTAGTGTATTTAAGAGATCCTCAGCAGTATGAAAGCCATTTGAGGACCATTTTGGGAATTTTACGTAAGGAAAAATTGTATGCCAAATTCAAGGAGTGTGAATTTTGGCTAGATCGAATAGGATTTTTGGGACACATTGTGACAGCAAATGGTATCAAAGTAGACCCGAGTAAGGTTGAAGCTATTACAAACTAGCAAAGGCATGCGAATGTTGGAGATGTAAGGAGCTTCCTAGGTTTGGCTGGATACTATCGACGATTTATAGAAGGTTTCTCTAAGACAGTGGGTCCCTTGACACAACTAACTCGAAAGGGTGTGAAGTTTGTATGGACTGAAATGTGTGAACAAAGCTTCCAAGAATTGAAAAATAGATTAGTACCCGCTCCAGTATTAGCAATTCCAAAGGAACCGGAGGGATTTGTTATCTATAGTGATGCTTCCAAGCTTGGTCTGGAGTTTTGATGCAACGTGGAAGGGTGATAGCCTATGCATCAAGACAATTAAAGCAGTACGAGAAAATTATTCGACAGACGATCTAGAACTTGCAGCGGTAGTTCACGCTCTCAAGATTTGGCGTCATTACTTATATGGAAGCAAGTGTGAAATTTATAGTGACCATAAGAGCCTCAAGTACTTCTTTACCCAGAAGGAATTAAACATTAGACAACGAAAATGGTTAGAGTTAGTAAAAGATTATGATTGTACAATCCATTACCATCCTGATAAAGCTAATGTAGTATCAGATGCTTTGAATAGGAAGAACCAGGGTCACTTATCAGCACTGGATACACAACAAAATCAGTTAATCAAGGACTTTGAAAATCTGAGGATAGAAGTACTAACACTGCCATCTCGAGCATCATGTATTAGGGTTGGACAAAACTCCCGAACCGAACCGACCGAACCAACCAAACTGAACAGAACCGAACCCGACGATTCTTCTCAAGTTAAATACCCAAACGGGTATTTGAATCAAGAACCGACGGGTATGGTTCGGTTCTTAGTTCTAGGCCAAGACCCGAAGAACCGAATAAGAACCGAATCTCCATAATTTTTTTAATTAATTTATTTTAAATAAGTAAATTTATTTTATTTTTTCTAAATAAATTTGTTAACTAGTTAATTTAGTTCAAACCACAAAATATGATTTTCCTATTTCTAATATTCAGTTCAAATCAATTTAATCAAATTGACCTCAATTTTATCTAAATTTGTTATTCTACTATAGTGTCGTTTCTACCGGAGAAAATCGAATTAAAGCTCTAGAACATCTCTCTTAATTATTTTGAGATCGCTATCTTTCTCTTTCTGTGATTTTAATAATCAAATTTATGAAGAATTCAGCAAAGAGAGACGTGAAACACATAAGATTGAACTACGTTATTTTGGAAGAGCTAATATTAAATATATCATTAATTAAATTAATGTAATTTTGTATATATTAAAAATTTTAATTATAATATGGAACCGAACCGGACCGAATGGAACCGAACCCGAATGGTTCCGTAATTAAATTTGGACCCGACGGTTCCACTTACTAAATACTCGAAAATTTCGGGTCGGTTCGGTTCTTGTTAGAACCGAATCGAACCAGACCATGTCCAGCCCTATCATGTATGTTGACAAGTTTGGTTCTAAAATCAACCCCCAGGGATAAGATTATAGCAACTCAAAGAAATGACTCCTTCCTGGAAAAGATAAGGGCTGAAGTTGGAACCGAGAAAAGGAAGGGATTTGAGATAAGCAATGATAAGGTACTTATATTTTAAAGGCAGACTATGTGTACCTAAGGATGAAGAAATAAGAAAGGAGATTATGACTGAGGCTCATTCCGCTCCTTATGCCGCACATCCAGGCTCTACAAAGATGTACAGAGACTTACGTAATACATTTTGGTGAAGGAATATGAAAGGAGGAATAGCTTTAATCGTGTCGAAGTGTATAGTTTGTCAGCAAGTGAAAGCAGAGCATCAAAGACCATTAGGGCTATTAAATCCAATTGACATACCAGAATGGAAATGGGAGAAAATCTCGATGGATTTTGTAGTAGACCTTCCTAGGTCGGCAAAAGGTCACGATGCCATTTGGGTCATAGTAGACCGACTTACCAAATCTGCCCATTTTCTATCGGTCCGTATGACTTTCAATCTAGAACAGTTTGCACAGTTATATGTCAAAGAAATAGTTCGATTTCATGGGGTACCAACATCCATTGTGTCAGACAGAGACCCCAAATTTACTTCAAAATTTTGGAGGAGTCTTCAAACAGCTATAGGAACTAAGTTATCTTTCAGTACAGCATATGTCAGACTGATGGATAGTTAGAATGAAGTATACAAGTATTAGAAGATATGTTGAGGGCATGTATACTAGATTTGGGCGGTAAATGGGAGAACCACTTGCCATTGGTGGAATTTGCATACAATAATAGCTTTCAAGCTACTATCGGCATGGCACCATATGAGGCATTGTATGGTCGAAGATGTCGTTCACTAATATGCTGGGATGAGGTCGGTGAGAAGAGAATTTTGGGTCCAGAACTTATTGAGTAGACTGCGAAGGCGATAGATAAGATCAGAATGAGGATTAAGATAGCTCAAGACCGCCTAAAGAGCTATGCAGATAAGAGAAGAAAATAACTAGAATTTGAGGTGGGAGAAAAAGTATTTCTCAAAGTCGCCCCAACAAAAGGGATAGTATGATTTGGAAAAAAAGGAAAGCTAAAATCAAGATTTATCGGGCCATTTGAGATCCTCGAGAAGGTTAAATGTAGCGTATTGTTTGGCACTGCCACCGGAACTATCGGCAATGCATGATGTATTTCATATTTCTATGTTGAGGAAGTACATCCATAATCCAAGTCACGTGGTTAATGCTCAGTCGTTGGGAGTGCGGAGTGATATGACTTACGAAGAAGTACCTATAAGGGTTATAGAGGTACACATCAAGAAATCGAGAAATGCCATTAGTCAAAGTCCAATGGAGTAGACATGGGAAGGATGAGGCTACACGGGAGAGAGAAGCAGATGTTTTGGCGAAGTATCCAGACCTTCTTATCGAGTAAATTGAATTTTCATATCAATATTGGGCTTGTTTCGAATAAGTTAGGCCCATGATATTTAAGTTCAAAGAATCCATATGTTTAATCGAAGTCAACTAAGAATTTAATTGTTATTTTTGGTGGGGCAGCCACGTTATTCACTTGAACTGTTTTGAAATTGAATCGTGTTATTTGAATTGTAAAGAATGATAACTAGGATTAATTTTATTAGTTATCCATTTGAAATTCCACATAAACCAATAAACAATTTGATAAGTAGTCTAAGAGTCCTAATTAAATTGGGAATCTAATTCCTGTAGGAGTCCTGTTCCCATCATTATTGGGAGATTGGGATACTATAGAGTTTGAGGTTCACGCCACTTTACCGGAATTTGATCAGATTATTATAAAAGATCACAGTCCAGTAGATTACTTTAAGTTAACTATTTCAGAGACTAAATTGGAAAGGATTTTGTTCAACATAGACGCTTCATCATCATCACAAGTTAAGGTAGGATCCCTACGCGTAGTTGTCATTACATGAATTAAATTCTCAATTTAATATGTTATTCTTATGTTTTCATGAAGTATATAAACTGCCATTAGAGTTTTCTTTTAAATTTTGATGATGAAAGGTTATAGATGTTTAAATTGATGGCCGCAGAGGCTCAACAGAACCTTAAGTATATATGTTAAACTAATGGTTGGAGAGGCTCATCAAAACCTTAGGTAGATCGTTTGATCATCGATTTACTTATTTATGAAAGCAACATGTTTATGTATGATTAAATGTATGAATATTAAGTTCATGTAGCACGTGTAGCCTGCTGAATATTTCTTTAAGATGCTCACTCCTATTTAACCATTTTCAGATTAATCGGAGATCCGACGGCGGTTTGGCATGATTGGCATCTTTTATTTTTAGAGAAATTTATTGTATGTTTTAGATTTGCCACTTTTATGTTTATTATTCATTTGTGTCCCAAATATTGTAGTTCGAATTCATGTTTTGAGACAAACAGTTTTTTTTTAAATGTTTGTTTTTTTTTTCCAGTTTCTACTTCCAAGTTTAAAAATTCACCCAGACCTAAATACTTGGATTTTTGAGGTTATTCTAGTTGGAAAAGATAGCCTTATGAGTTATCTATCCGTTGGATTTGAAATCATGAATTTTGGATTTCTAAAACTCGAGTTATGAATATTTTCTCAAGAGCTGTCAGATTGTACCCGGGAACAGATTTTCCCCGGTTTAGAAAGAATTTCGACCAATCTATTGATTGAATTTATCTACGAAATTTTAACATGTAATTCCCTTATATGTATAATGTCTACAGTTAAAATTTTGTAAATTTTGGACTTCATTTATGTGTCAAACAAGATTTATTTCAGAAAGTTGTACAAGCTGAAGTCAAAACTTTTTGCAATGAAAATTTCCTTAAATTTTGTAATAAGTTCTTTAGAGCCTTAATGTTTTTATTTCAAGGTAAGCTGCTACATTTTACAGCACCATTAGGGAGAAAATTTATAAATTTAAGGTCTTTGTAATGTCATGAGTTCTCGGAGCTCGGGGCGTTACAGATTTTAACTTGTTTTTTGAAGATGGTATTATTCCCCAATGTTCTGTACCTAGGACAATCAAACAAAATGGTTTGGCTAAAAGAAAA